AATTCCACCATAGAGCAAATAATAGATTCATAAACAGTGAGGGTTTCAGCATGAGAAAAAAATGGATTAAATTTCTCTTACATGCCTGCAGCAGTGCTATGCTATACATTAATAAACCCCTACCCCTGAAATCACTAAGCATGTCAGCAGGAAGAACCTTTCATCTCTCTGCCTGTATTAGAATTCCATTTCCTGTCTTCCTAGACAACAGTAGAAGGACTTGAGGGATTTGGAGACTGAAACATCCAAGGACCAAAGGTATCTCATCCCTCCCCAGTCGGGAGGGGCGGGGTATGAACATCGCCAGAATTAGCAAACATATTCTTGCTGAAGCACACAAAAATATGTAGTTACCTCAAGGTTTGGATTCTTGCATTTGACAAATACAGTAAGTTTGTGCTGAGCTGCAGTTGACATGATTGTAGCTATTACAACATAAGAGGAATTAATATGGTTTCAGACAGACTTAGGTGATCCCTCATTGTCGAAGTAGGATAGTCTTCCAAGGTCAGTGTACTGGTGGGTCCATAGGTGACTGCGGATCCCTATTCTTGATCTGCATCTTCTCCCACACTGAGGGCATTGGTTTCCAGGCGGAAGGCGATCTCGGTCAGGATTAGCTTGACATGCCTTCCTCTTGGCACGTTTCTCTCTTTCAACCTCCGTTCATGCCTCTTCAAATTCTACAGCACTGCTGGTCACAGCTGACCTCCAGCTGGAGCGCTCAAGGGTTGGCTTCCCAGTTCTCACTGTCTATGCAACAGTTTTTAAGGTTGGCTTTGAGCCCATCTTTAAATCTCTTTACCTGCCCATCAACATTCCATTTTCCATTCTTGAGTTTGGAGTAGAGCAACTGCTTTGGGAGATGGTGGTCAGGCATCCGGACAACGTGGCCGGTCCAGCGTTGATAGCGGAGGACCATCGCTTCAATGCTGGTGGTCTTTGCTTCTTCCAGCACACTGACATTTGTACGCTTGTCTTACCAAGAGATTTGCAGGATTTTCTGGAGGCAGCACTGATGGAATCGTTCCAGGAGTTGCATGTGACATCTGAAGACAGCCCACTTCTCACAGGCGTATAGCAGGGTTGGGAGGACAATAGCTTTATAAACAAGCACCTTGATATCTCTATGGATGTCCCGGTCCTCAAGCACTCTCTGCTTCATTTGGAAAAAAGCTGCACTCGCAGAGCTCAGGCGGTGTTGTATTTCCGTGTCAATGTTGACTTTTGTGGAGAGGTGGCTGCCAAGGTAGCGGAAATGATCAACCAAAAAGCAAATTATTATAGTGATTTGTCCCCCTCAATCGACATTCAGACAGAATGCCTATGTAGTCTAGCATTTTACATTCAACAGTGACCAATGAGATGCCTAAGGAAAGACTATGAGGAGGATGAGAAGACACAGAAATGGAACAACGGGTTGGTGTAATACTGGAGTTAGGGTCTAAAGTTCAGCTTAAACTTATGCTAAATTGGAGGGATATTTTAGTTTACACAGCTAGCACAACTTTGGTCAGACCTCAGTCATGGAGGACATCTTTCCCTTACCAAACATACCAGGTTAAAATCCCACTATTACTAGGTTTGGTGGGAAATATCTCCATCTGAAATCCTGTATGTAATTGAGCTGCTTAATTCAAAAGCAGATTGCCTCATCACATAAAGCAATCACATAATTCTTCCTTCACTCCTGTCTCCCATTCCTCCATTGTTTTCCCATACCATTATTCAGGCTATTTCCCCTTCACTCGGTATATAACATATTGGTAGTACTATAGAGATCAGATGACAATGGAGAGGGATGATACATTTTTGGGCTGCTGTTTGAGAAGAAAACAAATTCAAATTCTTTATATTCTGAACAGCATTTGAAAGGGATATAGTCTGCAGATACAAATAAGATGGGATGTCAATATGCACTGAATGCATTCCTTTGTGTTATGTTTTTGGATATTGATTTTGAAGCCACACAATGTGACATGGACTACAATCCTCTCTCTCCCTATTATTGTTGCTTTTAACTCTGTAGTACGTTCCACTGATTTCAATGTGATGTTCTCCCCAGTGAGTGTGTGGACTTCAACCTGGATAGCAGTCAAGTTATTGGTGCGTAAAGCACAGTAAGCAATAGCAGTTCTCTAGCATCTTCAACATCAATGCTCTTTTTTCAGGATCTAAAAGATTTTAGGTGTCCAAAATGGTCATAAAACTCCTGCAAACAAAATTAAGTAGATGCAGATTTATTATTATTATTTATTATTTTCTATACTTTTACCCCGCCCTTCTTACCCCGAGGGGGGACTCCGAGCGGCCTCACAAAAGCATCATCAGATGCCCGCATCATAAAAACAAAAATGTTGAACTTCTGAACATAAGGTAAAGGTAAAGATTTCCCCTTAATAATTAAGACTAGTCATGTCCAATCTGGGGGATGATGTTTATCTCCATTTCTAAACCAAAGTCGGCGTTGTCCATAGACGCCTCCAAGGTCACGTGGCCGACTTCATGGAGTTCTGTTACCTTCCCGGCAAATACCTATTGATCTATTAGCATTTGCATGTTTTCGAAGTGCTAGGTTGGCAGAAGCTGGGGCTTACAGCAAGAGCTCACCCCGCTCCCCGGATTCAAACTATCAACCTTTCAGTCAGCAAGTCCGGCAGCTCAGCGGTTTAACACGCTGCACCACCAGGGTCTCCATATAATGACATATATCAGCAACCCTTCATGATCATACAAAAGGAGAAAGGAAGACCGTCAGAAAGATCTTTCTAGATGGGAAAATCATTATGAGGAAGTTACATAACAAGATAAAGAGATTTAATTCTTCTCTTCCAGGGCATATCCCCTCATTAAAGATTCTGAAATGCATTTTCCACTCATTTTACAATAAACTGAAATGATGCTTAGATTGGGGTGGGGGGGCGGACTTATGATAGATATGTTAACACAGGTATTATACCTGAGCGGTCGAAACTAATTTTAATAGTAATTACAAGGGTCCCAAAAGTAGTATTCACTTCACAACATACAACAAATTTAGACCCAATCTACTTGCACTAAAGACAGAACATTTAAGAAGCATAATCTCATGATAGGAGTGAAAGAACTCCTGTTTGGCTCCATGGGAACCTTCTGAAGATCTCCCATAAACATGCCTCTAGTCTAACATGATTACTTCCAGTTACAAAGACAGAAAGAACTAGATGAACGGAGACATAGCGAGAGGTCCACAGAGATACAGAAAGATGTGCACAGATCTCCTGTTCTGGCAGTATCTTTTCCTACTTTTCTGCATAAGGCTCTAGGCACAGATGGAAAACCCAGCATCAACCAAATCATGCCCTAATAATGTATATATACAGGAAAAGGAAACACATAAATAAAACATTTCCAAGGACTTGTACTGAACTGTTCTGTTCATATGCATTTTCAGGTGGTATTTTTTCCCCAAGTCTTATACCTGGTTGCACTGCTCTGTTAAACTGCTACATCTGAAGACAACTCTGCCTAATGGAGACTAAAACCTTGCAGATTTAGGTTTTTTAAAAACTTCATATACATTGCAATGTTACAGTTAAATTCCATTCAACTACAAATGGATGACGAAAGGCCCACAAACAAACTGCAGCTGCTGCAAAAGACTCTCAGTGGATATCCAGATCCTATATATTATCATTCCAGAAATAATGTCGGAAGGAAGCACAGAAATCTGTGAAAGTAACCAAAGAGCAATTATTACAGTGATTTGTGTATCTTGCTACATAATAATGTGCTGTTGTGGAATATTTTTTTAAAAGGGAATGATTTGGCTACCTAATGAGCTAGATATTCCAATATCACTTGTTAGGACAAAACATAGAAAAAATACTGAGCATGACAATTATGAACATCTAAAGAAAGCAAATAATACACTGACTTCCTTTTCATTTTGCATACTTGACTTGTGGCCCTCTATATTTAACAGGCTGCTTGCCATTAAACACCAAATTTCATAGTATTGTCGAAGGCTTTCATGGCCGGAATCACTGGGTTGTTGTAACTTTTTTGGGCTGTATGGCCATATTCCAGAAGCATTCTCTCCTGACATTTTAACCTCAGAGGTTATAAGGTCAGTTGGAAAGTAGGAAAATGGGGTTTATATATCTGTGGAATGTCCAGAGTGGGAGAAAGAACTCTTGTCTGTTGGAGGTAGGTGTGAATGTTTCAATTGGCCACCTTCATTAGCATTTGATGACCTAGCAGTTTTAAGGTGTGACTTTTTACTGTCTGGGGGAAACCTTTGTTGAGAGGTGATTAGGGACCACCAAACGCAGCGCCCAAACATGAATCGAGGAACATAAAAGGCACTGCAGGCTATTTCAACCAGAGAAGTTAGCACCTGATGAACCAACCTGGACACAGCATATTATTTAAGAACACAGATATGCTGGACCACTCTAACAACCACCATGTCAGACTACACTGGATGACCCATGAGGTCTCTTCCAATTCTATGATTCTACACAGAGAGGCCACTGAAATCCACAAGCATGTGGACAATTTCAATAGAAAGGAAGAAACCATGAAAATAAACAAAATCTGACTAGCCTAACAGTAAATAAAGAACAACACGCAAAAACAAGTGAACTCCACACAAGAAACAATCAGGGATGGTTAATCACCACTCAACCAAGGATTTCCCCAGGCAGTAAGAAGCCACACTCTGAAACTACTAGGCCATTAAATGCTAATCAAGATGGGCAATTGAAACATTGGCCTCTGAGGTTGCCTGCCATAGATGCAGGTGAAACGTCAGAAGAGAATGCTTCTGGAACATGGCCATAAAGCCTGAAAAATTTACACCAACCCAAAGCTCATAGTGTCTTTGTGTGTTAAAGGGCAGATATAAAGCAACAACCAACAGTAAATGGGAAAATAAATGATATGTTGGTTGTTCTAGAAAATGAAAGCAAACCAAAGAGGAAACAAATACTTTTAATTATATGTTCTTATCTTTGTAGGCTTTCATATCGGACTGGTCAAGACACATCTAACTGTGACACATGCAGGAACAGTGCATGTATAATCTATAGGTAGGTTAATCATTCTCATGTTCCCACTTTTTAACATGGGCAAAGGGGTTTCATTTTTCTCTCACAGAAGATGGAATGCAAGTCACTGTTTCAAATTGGTATTTCAGCACGAATGCACAGAAAGCCAGGAAATTAATGTTTATTGTACTATAAAATCCAATCTATAGAATATTTCAGATACTAGAAAGAAGAAAAATGAGAGGAAGATGCAGGTGTGTAATCTGTACGTGTAACTTGCAGAAATCTGTATAACGCAGGCTTCAGGGCCCTGAAAATGTTGCCTCTTCCCCCAAAAAAGTATTATTGGAAACTCAAGGCTACATTGATAAACATGGGCCCAATAAAATCTCTAGTGTGGATTCCAAATTACAATTTTTACAAGATACATACTATAGACCTATACGTGTACACTCTAAAGTGGGTATACTTATTTTGCTCCCCATTTATGTTACCAAAAGGGTGACAGCTGTCTACAACATGTTGTCATTCTGAAATATAAGATTCTCAACTCCAAATATGATTGCACCAATATGTAATAACATGTGGCTCTTTGGATTGCAACACGTGATGTCAGCTTTAAAAACCTGAGGCCAGGAAAGGAGAGGAATTTTTTAAACAAAAGTATCTAATGCTATTCATATCCAGGAAATCAGGATAAGGATCAGCAAATAACTAAGAAACAGAGAGAAAATGTGTGCTAAACAGCTACCCATTGCTTACCATAAAATTTAAAATAGCTTAAGATTTTCTCTAACTTTACCACACTCTGTACAAGTGACAAGATGCTATCGTGTGGGAGAAAGAGATCTGTCACATTACTTTAAAACTATTAAAGGGAGGACTAGGCCACCACGTTGGGAGAGATTTGTCTATGAAATATAGTAAACTGTGATTACACTAGCGGGGCTTGCTATAGAATGGATACAGTGAGGAATCTGAGGCCGGATCCAGACAGGCCTTTATCCCAGAAGCATCCGCATTAAAAAAAAAAACGCAGATGTTTCTGGGAGTCTGTCCACACCCATCCCCAGAAAGCGTGCTCTTTCTGGTGTTGGTGTCCAGACGTTCTCTTGGGACTAGCCCGAGAAAATGTTTGGAGGCCCTACCACCCTACCCCCAAGTCCCCAGAACCCTTAGAAAAGTAATAAAAACTTACCCATGCTCCATTACAAGCCTCAGCCAGCTCTCCCGGCACATAGAAATGACATGATTTCCCCTCCCTCCCCCTCCCCCCCCCCCCCCCCCCCCCCCCCCCCCCCCCCCGCTCTCCTGATACATCATTTTTATGTGCGGGGAGAGCTGGCTGAGGCTTGTAATAGAGGATGGGTAAGTTTTTATTACTTTTCTAAGGGGTCTGGGGGCTTGGGGGAATGGGGGGGGTATTCCCACAGTTTACACGGAATAAATCCATTATCAAATTAATTTGCTACAAACCAGGGTGTTCCTGGTTTATAGCAAATTAATTCAGAACTGCCCAGAATGTTGTCTGGAGAGCCCCTCCTTTATTGCGGTAGAAACCACAATAAAGGTCCTATGTGGACGGGCCCTAAGAGATGCTCAGAATATTTACATTTTAAAAAATCAAATGCTATCATGGCTGCTTGCACAATGCATCAAGTATAAATTGGTCAACTCTGAATTAACTGTAGCAAGTCTAGTCCTATCTCATTTGTTCGCCTGTGTAATGTAAGCCATTCAAGAAATGAGGTATTCTAATATTAGAAGTTCATAAGGAAAGAGTCTACTTCAGTTGGATTTTGTTCTACGTTTTTTGGCTTTCTGATGAGCAGATTAGATAAGAATGTCAGAAAATCAAATATAATTCCTGTTGTGTTGCTACACAATGTTTTTAAAAATCTTACGTCAAGGCTTTATATGAATTATGTTTATAATAATATAAACTAAATGGATGGATGGTATCCTTGAAGTGACTGGCTTGACTTTGAAGAAGCTGGGGACCAGGGAGCTCTGTTGTGGGGCGGTCCATGAGGTCACAAAGAGTTGGAAGCGACTGAAGAAATAAACAACAAAACAGGACCATTATAGGAAAGCTGGATAAATATACAGTGTACACATGTGAAAAATCCAGCTACACCAAATACTGCAGTTGTGTTTGTATTCTCATAATGTAAATAATGCACCAAAACTAGCAATGAGTGTTCCAACTTTGCCTGTTTGAAAATCACCTCTGTTGCTCTGGCCCTGTTAATCCCACAAAGGCTCCAGACTTCTATGTGTATATAAAAGTAACTTTGGAATCCTCTGTGGAGAAAGAGCTAGATGTTCTTTGTAATACGTTTTCACTACAAACTACCTTTTTAGGGGAGGATATACAGAAGGAAGTATAGCAATGTAACATGGTTGTAATGTATTATATAGGTTTTGACCTCAGTGAGTAGACTAAAAGCAGGGTGAGAGTTCTGAAAAGAAGAAACTTTGTAGTATAGTGGTTTGACTGCTGAACTACAAATGTGGAGATCTGGGTTCAGAGTTCCCAGTATTATCCCCACACCACAAAGTAATTGCAGGCCTCTCTAGGTACTTCAGTACAATTCTATGGTATGCTTCTGCCTTAAGTATAGTCAGAATATGTGGTTTGCTATTATCCATGGTCTCAGGTATCCACAGGAGATCTTGGAATGTATTGAAAAGATAAATATTATGTAAACACATAAAATGGATGGCACCTTGATAGTGATACATACAAGTCCAATGTACGTCTGCATATGTCTTTTTGTTGTTGTCTTTGCAGTAGTTGGTATTCTTTTCCTCACTCAACAATGACTAAAGTCTGTTCCCTCAAGTGGACTTTGTACCTTTTTCAGCTATAGGCAAACATGGCACAACACAGCATTACAGATTTGCAGACAGAACTCTACTACATTTCTCCTTTCAACTTCCTGACTCATTATTTATACTTAGTAGCCCCACCACAGGCTAAAGTAGTGGGTGGGGTGGACTGGGGGTGGGATTAGAAAAGCTCCCATAGCTAAATGAGGAATCATTACACCATCCATTGAGACAGCCAAGGGATACCATCAAATTTTAGCAGATGTGTCTGACTATGAGGGTTTAGCCCAGGCATGAGCAAACTTTCTAACTTGAGGGCCGCATGGTGGGGTGGGAGGGCAAAGGAAGGAAAGACAGGAAACGTTTGGATCCCAAAAGGACAGCCTTGGTCAGGATGAGATAGAAAAAGTGTATCCCTTAGACCCTATATTGCCTACTCCTGATACAGAATCCCAGAGCTGGAAGAGCCCCCCAAGGGCTATTCAGTCCAATCTCCTGCCATGCAGGAAGGCACAATCAAAGCACTCCTAATAGACAGACAGCCTCTATGGAAAAGCCTCCAGAGAAGGGGACCACACTCTGAGCCAGCCTATGCTACTCCCTGACAGCTCTTACTCACAGGGAGTTCTTCCTAATCTTTTCAGTCAAATCTCTTTCCCCCTGTCATTTCAACACATAGCTCTCTTAACCCCCCTTTAAATTAGTTCATTTCCCCCCTTTAAATTAGTAGTTCTCAACCTGAGGGTCTCCAGATATTTTGGCCTTCAACTCCCAGAAATTCTAACAGCTGATAAACTGGCTGGGATTTTTGGGAGTTGTAGGCCAAAACACCTGGGGATCCACAGGTTGAGAATCATTGCTTTAAATCTTGAAACATGGTTCTCATGTTCTCCCTCAGCCTTCTCTTCTCCCATCTCATCATCTCCCAGGATGAAAGGAGGAAGGGAGGGAGGGAGGAAGAGAATTATGGAAAGAAGGAAGGCTGGAAGACAAAGGAGGGAGGAAAGACAAAAGGGAAGGAAGGGAGGGAAGGGAGGATGAAAGAGAAGGGGAGGAGGAGGAAGAAGGAGGGAAGAAAGGAATGGAGGGAAGGAGGAAGGAAAGAGAGAAGGAAAGAAGGATAGGATGGGGAGAGAGAGGAGGTCCTGAGAAAAGAGCCCAAGGGGCCGCATCCGGCCCCCTGGCCTCGGTTTGCCCATACCTGATTTAGCCAGATTGCTGAATACATATTTGATCATCTCCTCTRATGGATATTTTGATCCTTCTCTTCTTTCCTACATTCATTGAGATAGCCTCATTTTTTTCAACCATTCCACATTTTTGACAAAATTTTGCACTTTACTCCAGAATCTATTGTTGATCTTTCCTCTGAACCCCCCCCCCCCCCGGGGGGAGTCGACAACCTGAATGCATGGAATCACAGACTAATTAAAAGCCGCATATTCATACACCATAAAGAGAAGGCTAGAGATCCACAAAGAGGGGAATCAATCCTGTCCTAGAAAACAATATTCTGAAGGTGAAGGTAATCAGATGGAAAAGTCAAGGCGCTGAGCCTCAAACAACTCTATTTGCTGTAGATTTGTCATCATTAAAACTTTTTTGTTTCACCAAGTCAGCTGAAGTAAGAGCAACTCTGCAATAATGTACTTTAAGGTCATATAAATTAAGAACTATAATCACAGGGCAGGGGGTAACATATGCTTAAAATGCTTTTGAGTGAGTTAGAAAAAGAAGCGTTACCGCAATACATCTATTGCCTTTATTGCTCTATTGCCCAACTGCATCCACTAATGTCAAGTACAGCATAACTGAAATGTAGAAATGATTAAATGTAATTAATTTTTTCCAAGATGATATTCTCGGAATATTAATGGTGCATGACACAATAGCTGTCTAATTAAATACCATGGCATGGAGGATGAAGATTTCAAAGGCTTCAGATCATTTGTGGAATTTTTCCATTTATTATATATCAAAATAATGGTAAATTTAAACAACTGTAATTCTGATTATCCATAATCTGAATTTGTGCTAGCATTTCTCAAAGAGCACCTCCCCCAACTTTAACAGTTGAGAAGACTTTTCAAAAGACATTGCTTTCAATAAATCCCACTGCTTTTTCAAGAAGGGAAGACATTTCAGTCAAGGACTCACCTGGTCCAATTCAAAGATACCTATCCACCTAATTTTATCTCTTAAGCAATAAT